CATGCATGCGCGCGCACACACACACACCCTTGCACACACAATAAAACTTTAAAATAGGGTTAGAATATTGAAGACTTGCATCATTACAAAAAAATAAAATGAGCAAAGGTGAGTAGGTGAGAATCCTGGGAAGTGGCCACAAAGGGCAGATGGGTCAAAAGAGGAAGGCAGACTCCCTTCCTTCCTCCTAAACGCTCCACGCTACGCCAAGCTTTGAGGCTGTCAGGCCTCTGCCTGCTCCACAGCCTCTGGCACAGCAAAGTCCTGCTCAAAGGCCTTCTCCCATGAAGAAAGCCAAATTTACACAGCAGGCTCTGAGCCTTCCCTGCTTTGTGCATACCTGGCTTGCTCTCTGAGCTTTACCACTGTGCCTCCTCCTAATTCTTAAATGGCAGCCAGTGTGTGTCCCGTGCACTTCTGCTGCCAGGGACTAAGAGGTGACTGAAGTTGTCTTGGGCCTGGAATGATATGATGGCCACACTTCAGAACAATATCTATCTATCTATCTATCTATCTATCTATCTCTACCTCTATGTCTATCCTCTCCCTTTTCCCACCCCGCATGCATGCCTGTGTGTGGGGGGGTATGTGTGTAGAGCTGAACGGATTTAAATTCCTGGGGACCTTGTGAATGGTAATGCCACACCAGGCCAGCATAACAAACACCCAACACTCCAAAATAACAAGTATAAATATTTTTTGAGACAGGGTCCTACACAGCTTATGTTGGCCTCAAATTGATAACAGAGAAGAAAAGTTGGGTAGCCCTGTATTATGAGCTACAGGGGCATATTGTAGAGATGAGTCTAAACATTCATGCTTTTAACAGTATGTCTGTTCAGCATTGGGAGCATGGGAAACTTAGCACACAGAAAGAACAATGAGACAGGGACAATAAGGACAAAAGCACAAACACTCTGAATCTCAAAGACAAGACTTATCTTTGGGATGCCCAGCTGTCTTTGTTTCCACTCTGTAAAGTATACTAGATGGAGATAAGAGGAGTACCAGATTTGAGGAATATTAATCTTCATTGATGGACCAGGCCTGACTCCATTTTAAGATTAGAAGCCATCTTGATACAAAATCAAAATAAGTTCATTCCTGCTCTTGGTAAAACTTAGGTTTGACCGTGTCTTGACCCACTTTCTGGAATGTGATGTTACCCACTGTTTACCCTAACCTCCATCCACCCTGGTAAGATGTTCTGCCAAATAATTTTGAGATGTTCCAACAAGTTCGTACATAACCAAAACCCCTGAGAAATTCCTAATATTGCACTTTCTTTCGTCCTATCTTTCTCTATCTTTCTTTGTCTTGCAATTTCTGAACTATCTAAACCCTGCTTTTTCCTGCGTTCAGTGCTGACCTCTCAAATACCATTTAGGGAGAGGCAGTCACTGGGCCAGCTATACTATACATATACCATAAAGCATAATAAAAATTTGGTTGTTTTGGGTGATGGTCTTTACTCTTGTTTGGTGGAATTAACACTGTCCTTCCAGATTGCTAGCCTCTGAGTGAAGCCCACTTTAATGACTCCTGCCTTTGTCTATTGGCATCGATAGTCACAGGCAGAACATACTCCATTTCCAAAACCTAATCATCCTGCCTCAGTCTTCAAAGTGCTTACTTCACATGTCAGACTGATGATACACACTGGTGTCATCCTGCAGAGACAAAAAATGCCATCATGGTGACAGTGGCAAAGACCACAGTGATAAATCTATAAACAAAGGAAAACCAAGGATCTACACAAATATCAGGAGCTAGGAGAGAAGAATCCATCTCCCCGAGATTACAAGGGACAGGGACCCTAACAACACCTTTATTTTGGATTTCTACCCTCCAGAATTGGGAAAGAAGAAATTTCTGGTGTGTGTGTGTGTGTGTGTGTGTGTGTGTGTGTGTGTGTGTGTGTGTGTAAGCTTGCAAAGGTCACAAAAGGAGAATGGGTTCCCTGGAACTGATGTTACAGACAGTTGTGAGTTACTTTGTGAGTCTAGGAACAGAAATCAGGTCTAGCAAGTGCAATAAGAACTCTTAACCATTGAGCCATTTCTCCAGCCCCAAATTTCTACTGTTTTAAAGTGGTGATTTTTCATAGCAGCCTAAGCAAACTAACAGAATAGCTGCTGTGTTAACTTTCTCTGAGATGCTGTTGATAAATGTCTATTCACTGCAAACAGGGCACCAACAGCCCAAAGTAGTGATCCATCAAAGTCCAGCAATGAGTTTATTGACTTACTTACATAAGTAAGTGGTTACTTGCAGATGCACAGGTGACCCCAAAGCAGCTGCAAATTCCTAACTCTTACAGATGTCGATCTTAGAGAAGGTGTAACATGGAGCCCCACTTTAGTGAACTTTCTACCTTCCATGTACTGCTATCATCTTCTCAGATTACTTTCAGCTGAAGGATGAGAAGTCAGGCAAGAATCCTAGTTGAAGATTCAGTGGCCCTCCTCTCCCAGTCCATCTTCTACTATGGTATTAGTCAGGGTTCTCTAGAGAAACAGTACTGAAAGAGAGAGAGACAGAGACAGAAAGAGAGAGAGAGAGAGAGAGAGAGAGAGAGAGAGAGAGAGAGAGAGAGAATACAACATTATAGAGTGAATATATATTCCTCTAGGCCACACACAGGGAAGTCATAAAGGGGATTCATTAGAATAGCTTACAGGCTATAATCCAGCTAATGCAACAATGGCTGTCTATGAGTGGAAGTCTAAGAATCCAGTAGTTGTTTGGTCCATGAGGCTGGATATCTCAGCTGGTGTTCAGTAAACAGTGGAATATTTCCCAAAGAAAGAGGCTCCAATGCCAGTGAATGAATAGCATCAGTTCTAGCAAGAGTGAGAGCAAGCAGGCAGAGAGAAAGCTTCCCTCTCATACCCTTTCTTTTTAAAATTATTTTATGTACATTGGTGTGAAGGTGTCAAATCCCCTGGTACTGGAGTTGTGGACTGCCATGTGGGTAGGAAATCAAACCTGGGTCCTCTGGGAAAGCAGTCAGTGCTCCTAACCACTGAGCCACCTCCTCAGGCCCTTCACATGTCCTTTCTTCCAGAAGAAAGTATGACCCAGACTAAAGGTGGATCTTCCCACCTCAAAAGACCTGGATTAAAGGTGGACCTTCTTATGTCAAAGATCCAGATGAGAAGTGGGTCTTCCCACTTCAGATGAAAGGGGTTTATGTGGGGTTACATGGCCAGGGCCAAACTTGGAGGCAGGCACTGAAGCAGGGACATCAGAAGAGCGCTTTTCCTGTCTTGCTCAGTCTGCTTTCATATACACCCAGGACCACCTGCTCAGGGGTGGCACTTCCCATTTTGGGCTGGGCCCTCCCACATCAGTGATGAGTCAAGAAAGTGCCCCCACAGACTTGCCTACAGGCCAAACTAATGGCGGCATTTTCTCAGTTAAGATTTCCTCTTCCCAGAGGTTTGGGTCAAGCTGACAGTAACTACCCAGCACACTATCCTTTATTCCAAGAGTCATACAATGGTCATGTTATTACACCAGAGGAAAAAAAATCTACACAGGAATCCCAACTCACTGCACAGGAACACAGGCCAAGGTCAGTGAGACACCATATGATAGAGACAGTAAGTTAGGGCTAGACTAGAGCAGCCTACCATGTGATTCCATGTAGGGATCTGGAATTCCTCATGCAATAGGCCTGGCAGAAATGAAGACATCCTAAAGAGACACCGTGCCTCTTAATTTGACTGTTGAAACAATGGAACACAAAAAAAATGGAATCTTACCAGGAATCTCATACTGAAAGAAGAAAAAGGCCCCAGCCAGAGGGGAACCAATCTCCCAGAAAGAGATTCCACACAATTCTTTTTTACTTACTCGTTTTGTTTTGTTTTGTTTTGAGACAGGATTTCTCTGTGTAGCCCCAGCTGCCTGAGAACTCACTTTGTAGACCAGGCTGGCCTCAAACTCAAACTGTCTGCCTCTGTCTCCTAAGTGTTGGGACTAAAGGCACATATGTCACTATGCCCAGCAAGATCCCACCGTTCTAACAATTTGTCAGACCACCTTAAAGGTGGGCCACTAGCAGGCAGGACCACACTTTGACTGGAAACCTTTGTCCCTCTATTTAAATTTTAGTGCCCAGAACCCTGAAGGCAAACTTTGGAAAAGGGGTTTACCTGGCCATCTTTGTCCAGCTCCCCAATGTGGCCAAATTGAGTAAATCTTTTTCTGTTTTCCACTAGTAATTTGACTTTTTGTTTTTGACGATGGGTGGCTGGGCCTGGTTTGGAGCACATGCTGTGACAGAGAACAAATTAAACTGACAAGAGATTCAATTCTATACAGATTTCTAAGAAGAGTGCCTAGGAAATAGAAATATTTTATGTTTATAAAGTGGACTTGCCCAATTTGTAGGCTTGTCTCAAATTCATCCTCTGCCCCCCCTTAAAAAACGTATTCATTTCTTCCAAACAGAATTATGACGATAAGACATGCAAGTGTTTGTCGCTGGTCCTGGGTTATTCTGTATTTACTAATTAGGCCTTGTTTTTAGTCATAATCGGCTAATCTCAGCTAATCCTCACAACTGCTGCCCTCTCTGTAACAGAGACATGGAAGCATTCAGGACATTAAGAGACCTGCATTTAGGGAAAGTCCGGCTGGTGAATAAAGGGTCGAAAGTAAGGCTACATTGTGTCTTGAAGGCTGTGTTGTGTGGCTTTAGGAAAAAATACTTCCTTGGCGTCAGCATACTTCCCGTCTTTCAAACTGGCACACTAGCTGCTGCCTTTGAGGGACCAGATGATTGGATGCAGAGCGCTGAGCGCCGCGTTCTGCGCATCCTCACACTGCAAGCTTCGCACGTTTCACGGGCGGGGATCAGCGGCGTCCTTGCAGGTTTCCATGACCTCCATGGAGGCGTCCTCGTTCTGCCCCCGACCACCAGGGGCCGCTGTGACAAGGCTCGCTCCCGCCGCTCTAGCCACGCCCAGGGAAGTCAGTGTCCTCACCTTTTAGGAGCCCGCGCCTCTGTGCCTGCGGACGCTTCCCGAGCTCTCGGTTCTGCTACTGTCCACTGCCGTCTTGCCGCCCACCATGGCCCTGCTGCACTCCAGCCGCGTCCTCTCCGGGGTGGCTGCCGTCTTTCACCCAGGCCTTGCGGCCGCAGCCTCTGCCAGAGCCAGGTGAGCCGATCGAGGGATACTGAGATGGAGCGGGACCGCGGGCCTGTCCCTGCCCAGCCGAGCGTGGACTCTGCGGCACCTGCACCCAGACCCGCGCGCTAACACACGCACGCATCCTCACTCTTCCGTGTTCCCAAGGGGGTTCCTGCCCCGGGGCTGAGTGTCCGCGCCCCACGGTGACCCTTAGAACCCCTCATTCCTCCCCTGCATCGCTGGACAGCGAGCCATCGCAATCCCTGGGGACGGGAATTATGGTTCTCAGATGCACCCGGACCCCAGTTCCGGCGGGTGACTGGGGTCCCAGATGGTAACTACGCGCGGTGGGGTGCGGGGCGAGGGGTGAGCACGTGGGCGGCTGCGCCGGGCCAGCCTCTCGCCGATTGGCTATGGTGCCGGCGCTGCGTGTCACCGATTGGCTGTGGTGCTGGGGGGCGCGCATGCCCTTGACCAGCTGCCCTGCGGGGCAGCTGGCCCACTTGTCCGGGTCCAGAGGGTTCTATCTGGCCGTACAGCATGGGATCTGACTGCTGCGTGTGTATCCGAGGGGAATGTGATCACATGGAGAGAGTCTCTCCGGATACCGAGACCCCGCGTTTCTTCCTGCATCCGTGACCTTGGTGTAGCGCATCCTTCCCTTGGTGTCGTCACTCTAGTACCTGGTGACACCCCTCCCCCCTTTAGACCTATCTGGCCTTTGGATGGGAAAGAGTTGAAGTGTGTAGTGTGATGCACTTTATTTGTTTTAAGCCCTTGGGAGATTCGGCTGACTGGGAGCCATCAATCTTTCTCTCCATCTCAGTTGGCCCTTTCGTCCCTTAAATATTTCGTAACCCACTTTGTCGGAGCCAGGCATTGGACCAGCTGCCGGTGATGCAGCTGTGAGCAAGACAGAGGAGTGACTTCACTTTTTAAAAAATGACAAATGTGTCATCTTGAACTGAGATTTACTGAAAGAAAGTTCAGGGCCTAAGTGGAGCTAGTAATTCCTAATTCTTCCCTGAGCCAGAAGAGCCATATCACCCAAGAAAGCAGATTTGAGGCAGTCTCCTTGAGTGCTCCTACTTAGTTTTATACTTGCCTTGGCCTTTCCTTTGAACGTGTTGAGGTAGTCTTCAAGCCAGCAGAACGGTCTGTCCTGTCCAGAGCCACTTTTGGCTCATTGCCAATGTGTGCCCTTTTAAGCCTAGCCACCTGATGAGGAGAATTAGGGAAACACTATTTATGCCACAGATTTGGAGGACAAAAAGGAGTACTTATGGGCAGAAGAAAATCTGCTTTCCCTTTATCTTAACCTTAAAATATCCCTTGTTTTATGTATATAACTGAAAGGCCTAAGATTTGTTTAAACTGCTTGGGGAGGTCCCCCTCCTTTGGGTATGACTGTCTTTTCCCAGTTGGAACTTAAGGTAGGGAGAGCAGAGTCCTTGGCAACTTTGTTCAGAGTTGTATCTAAACACTTACTGCAGTGTCCAGCATGGTTTTTGTTTGTCTAGTTTTTGTAGTTTGAAATGGAGTTACTATGTAGCCCTCCCTGGCTAGCCAGAAACTTACTATGGACACCATGGTGGCCCGGAACTTGCTGCAGTGATCTTGCTGTACCTTCCCAGTGTTACTACACCCAGCTTCCTTCTCCCTTCCTGCACTGGGAATAGAACCCAGGGCCTCTGTTCATACTAGGCAAGTAAGTACTCTACCATTGAGATATAAACCTAGCCTATGGAATGCCTCTCACTTTGCATATTTTAATTCTAAGCCCTTATTTGTGAACAAATGTAGCATTTTAATGTTTTGCATTCTTAGATCAAAATCTGCACATAAAGGAAACCATAGTGCTGCAAAATATGTACCAAAACCACAGTGTTGGGAGGCTGAGACAGGGAAAGTGTCCTGAGTTTGAAGCCATTCTCCTGGGCTACACAAAGTAAGTTTCAGGCCAACCTGTGTTTCAGTGTGAGACCATAAATAAATATGACTAAAGGAATGCTTTTCAGAAGCAGTTTAAGCCTTGGGAAATACAGAGCATTTGAGCTGGAAATGCTTATCTGAATACTTTGTACCTAGCATCTTTTGGTTGGGTGGTCACTGTTGCTCAATGTTTTTGGCCTTGCCCTTCTGTACAAAGGGCATCGGTAGGGATCACTTTGCAGGCCATAGGTTATCAGTTTACCCCCAGAGCGCTCTTGTTTTCATCTAATGCCATTGCTTTCATGTCTGTAATCTTCACAGTTTTAAGGCGTGGGATAATGAGGGACATAGAGAACCTGGAATTTGGTCACTCAGCTAATCAAAGGATTACTGCTCCTGTGCTTAGAATGCTTAAAATTCAGTGTTTTGAAATTGTTTGGAGCATTCTTTTTAAGAGGTATGTGAGAATATTCATGGCTGAGGCTTCTAGAGAATTTATATGCTACATATTTCATGTAAGTGTTGTTCACGTTATTAAACAAGAATGATACATCTGTCCTTGGGATTAGGGGCAACTCTGTCATTACTTAAGGACCCTCTTTAAAAGTGAAAGTTGCTTTCTGGAGGTTTGAGTGTCCTTGACATTCACAGTATTCATTTCACTCAGCAGTTAATGACAGTGATGTCCATAGGCAGGTGGCTGCATGGCTTCTGTCTGAACTGGAGAAGAGAAACAACCAAAACCTATTTGAATTGTTTCAAAGTTTGTATTTCTTCCTCACAGCTTATAGCAACAGTTAAAAAGAGTAAAGGGAACGATTTTTTTTTTTTTTTTAAATTCCTGACCTAGAGCTAAGGATGGGAAAAGATGATGATGTCACATGAGAATGTAAACTAATAACAATAATTTTAAAACCAGAAAGGCATGCATTTGACAACAAATGCCTATGACCATATGCTGTTTTAATTCCCTACATATTGGTCTTCCAGGACTGCATACCAGTAGCTAAATGGTGACAAATGACAGTGACATTGGAAGTAATGCCAGTTAACAAGCATCAGGTCTCCACTCTGTGCCTTGATCTTCTGAGTGTGTCATTCTTACACCAACCCTGTGAGATAGCTATGGCTATGCCCTTTGAACAGATGAGATTTGGAGTCATTTTTCTTCACTTCTCTTGCCTCTCTTTATTCACACCCTTCTTAGGTGGTAAGCTGTTTGAGTCCCTGCAGTTTACCCAGGGCAGGCTGTTAAAAGAGACCTTTGAAAGAAGTAAAACCCTGGGAGATCCCAAGCCAGATAACTCTGCTCTTGAATAACAGAATTAGTAACCCACCAAGCAAAGCTATGGAGGCTGAGTTCTCCTGTTGGGAGCCCCACCCGGCCATGCTGAGCCTGCCAACCCCATTATTCATGGAGAGTGAGGCTGGCTGGTGAGTACTAACTGGCCGCAGGCTGAGAGGGACATTGCTAAGAGGGAAATCCTAGTGAATAATTCACTGTGCCTGCTGAAGCATTTGGCAGAGACTAGATGAATGATTACAGAAAGAACTTGAGAACTCAGCCTAAGTCACTTGGAGTCTGGCTTCTGTAACTTCCAATTCCTGTGCAACTTGCATACCTTCCACCATATTCATAAGCCTGTGTTGCACGTACTTTTCCTCCGAAAAGCCCCCTTAACCCTGTTTTCCTTTAAGGAGGTTGGTTGGCTTTTTCTGGGTCTCCCCCAAAGTATACTCAGTTCCCTGAACCAAAATCATTGAATCACAGCCAGGCTGCACTGTTGATATCTCCCTGCTGGTCACCACACAGCTAATCTGGTGGGAAGGAATTAATGTTTTACTCTTAACAATCCTGTCTCCTAGCACAGTAGCACACAGCAAGTTTATAATCATTAATTAAATTAAATTAAGACAGTGGTTCTCAACCTGTGGGTCAAGACCCCTTTGAGAGTTGTATATCAGATATTTGTATTACTGTTTATAACAGTGGCAAAATTATACTTAGACGTAGCAATGAAATAATTTTATGGTTGGAGGGATCACCGCAACATAAGGAACTGTATTAAAGAGTTACAACTTAGGAAGGTTGAGAACCACTGCCTTAAAGACTTTGTTTATATAGCCAGGCCTAGTGGCCCACACATTTAATCCCAGCAGTAAGAGTCAAGCAGATGTCTATGAGCTCCAGGCCAGCCTGATTTACAGAGTGAGCTCCAGGCCAGTCAGAGCTACATAGTCTGGCACTGTTTTAAACAACACACACACACACACACACACACACACACACACGTACGTACGTAATTACCGCACCAGGGGAACTAGCCCATCCAGTTTGGACAAACTTTAAACACTGGTAACACTTCATAGCTTTTTTTCAGTTATAACCAGGGACCACAGTTTGGCTTCTCCCACATTCTCTCAGATACTTGCTTGCCATCCTGGGCCTGTTAGGAAGAAGAAAGGCTGCTCTGACGACAGCGAGGTGGTGACAGGAACACACATCGACACTGACAGACTCACTCTCACCCCTGGAGCTCTTGCAGATGTGGCCTTTGCTGTGAAGGAGACAGGAACCCCAGCTATGCAAGCACATACTGCGCTCTGAAATCAGTCTGCCAGGATCATAAGGAATGTCCCATACTGTGATATGTAGTATCTTTGCGGTTCTCACGATACAATGAGTGTTCATCCCTCCAGTAGGCCCACACTACTATTTTCAAAATGCAAAGATAGCCATTGGAGGTGAAAACTTCACTGTCACAGGAGGTTATAAACCAAAAAGAAAGAGGGAAAGAGATTGAACTAAGATTCACCATCCAAGTTTGGCCTCCTCATACATCCTTTCATAATTGAAACACACAGATATTACTCAGGTGCTGGGATTATAAGCATACACACTTACCTAGCAGATCAAAAGTTTTCATAGCAATACTAGGTGTTAGTTAGGGTAATGTGCATGGGTTTCTTTCGTTGTTTGTTGTGTTTTGTTTTTTCGAGACAAGGTTTCTCTGTGTAGCTTTAGCTGTCCTGGAACTCGCTCTGTAGACCAGGCTGACCTTAAACTCACAGAGATCTGCCTGCCCAAGGCATGCACCACCACCACCACTATCACCACCACATGGTTTCTGTGGTTCCTGTTTTCACATGATTAATAACTTACAAGTTTCTCAGTTTTGGTTTCCAGCACAGTCAATATTAATTGTTCCAGCCCACATAAACAGGAGCTCTGTGAGGAGCTTCAGCTAACCAGTCAACTTGCCTACACCACCCACTGCAAGCTCAGGAACTGTATTTATAGCCAGCCAGACAGTGATCCCAGCAGAGAGAATAGTGGGCAAGTGGCCTCACAGTTCCAGGACACCCTGGGGTGAGAGGGACAGAAGAGAGCACTTAGCCCACAGGACCGAGTAGACTAGCTCTTCTAGCCAAAGGCTGATGCTGCATCTACACCTATGACTCCAGCAGACTTCACGGGCCTCTCTGTGTCCCAGTGTGAGGACTAAGGCTGCCATATGCTTGAGGGAGGCTGCCATTCTCTTGTGCTGTTTGTGTAACTAAATCTCAGGTAAGGAAGAAAAATTAACAAAAATTCTTTGGATTCCTGAAAGTTTCAAGAGTAAAAAAGAATCTGGAGCAGCCGAGCATTGGTGGTGCATGCCTTTAATCCCAGCACTGGGGAGGCAGAAGCAGATGGATCTCTGTGAGTTCGAGGCCAGTCTGGTCTACAGAGTGAGTGCCAGGACAGGCTCCAGAGCTACACAGAGAAACCCTGTCTCGAAAACCAAAAATAAATAAAATATACTTAGAAATCAATGTCTGTCCAGTCACAGAAATTATCTGTGTATCTACCAGGTGAACAAGCCATTAATTAACACATTGAACATATAATTGTTCCTCAAACCTGATCATGAGAAAATATCAAAAGGGGGTCCTGACCTGTACCAGGCTTTTTCTTTCGGACCACCAACCAGCTCCCAAGTCATGACATGGACACTTAATATTAGGTCTGAATGCTTGGCCTTACCTTAGTTCATTTCTGGCTAGCTCTTTTAACTTAAATTAACCCGTGGTGTATACTGGTCATCAAAAGCAAGGAAACTAAAACTGTCAGAACCAAGAGACGCCTAAGAGGTGAAATATATTAATGAGAATAGGAATAAGTACTATTGAAATTAATGTTTTCCCCAATAATAATTCATCTTTCTTAATGTAAAATTTTAATCATTGTTTCTCTTAATATCTTGAGAATCTCATACATGGGTACACTGAATTTTATATCACTTACAACGCTCCCACTCCCCACTTCAATTCTTCCCATGTCCCTACCCCGTTGTTCTCCTTCAATGAACTTAGAAACATTTTAGGAATTTGAGTTTATATAACTAAGACTTTGGTAAGTAACAGTAATTTAATTTTTATTCAAAACAGCTATGCCTTTTACTTGTTTTAAATATTATCTAATACAGCATTTGTTTTTCCTAAACTTATGCTGGTTGAGGATGAAACAAGCTGAAAAACAAATTTTAAAATAGCACATTCAAAGTAGTAAAAATGTGGTTTCTCATTTGCCTGGAAATTTATGTCTTGAATGCTGTAAGTACCAAGAAGTATAACAAAAGCCTGTTATTTCAGGATGTTGTAATCTAGTCCATCAATGCTGTGGAGAGGTGAAAAACATGTCAGTTAGGTCCTTAGTCTTTCCACAATATTGACACATGGTGAGGTTTGTTTGTTTTAAGCTGCAGAAATCCCTGTATAAGCTCCAAATTGACAGAGGCACAGAAGATTTTAAACAAACCAAGGAGTTGGACATGTTGTTCAACTGGTAGATTGCATGACATGCACAAAGCCCCAGCAACTACATAAGCCAGACATAGTGGTGTTTTCTCTCTCTCTCTCTCTCTCTCTCTCTCCCCCTCTCCCCTCCCTTCCCCAGTCTGTGTACATGCATGCACATGAGAGATTATCAACTCTTACCTAATAAACAGTAGACTTCTGACATCCTTCTATACACTTCCTTAGAATGCTTAGCACATAAAACTGATTCAGTCACTGATTGCAGCCACTAGCCTATTGGCCACATGTGAACTAAACAAAATTAAAAGAGGATATATAAGAAAGCTGAGAAATGATCCGGGCGTTGGTGGTGCACACCTTTAGTCCCAGCACTCAGGAGGCAGAGGCAAATGGATCTCTCTGAGTTCGAGGCCAGCCTGGTCTACAGAGCTAGTTCCGGACAAGCTCCAAAACAATTCAAAGAAACCCTGTCTCAGAAAGAAAGAAAGAAAGAAAGAAAGAAAGAAAGAAAGAAAGGAGGGAGGGAGGGAGGGAGGGAGGGAGGGAGGGAGGGAGGGAGGGAGGGAGGGAGGGAGGGAGGGAAAGCAAGCTGGGAAATGGATATTGAATGTTCTGTTACATCTTGTGGTTTACCAAGAAACAGGGAAAGATGAGGGGCACTGCTTTAACAGTATAGTCACCTGGCTCAGGTGACTCTAGTGGACATCAGTGGGTGACTGTTGAAGTGGGGCTGAGGAAACAGCTCAGTGGGTGAAGTCCTTTGCATGTAGGCATGAGGATCTGAGTTCAGATAACTAGCACCCTTGTAAAAGTTGGACACAGTGGTAGATGTCTGAAACCTTGTGGTGTGTGCTGAGACAGGTAGAACCTGGGGCTCACAAGCTACTTGAGCCAAACTGGTGAGCTCCAGCTCTAGTGAGAAATCCTGTCTCCAAAATAAGGTGGAGTCAGGCTGAAGAGACACCCAGTGTTAAGAGGATGTGCTTCTCAATCATTAAAAAGGAATTCTGATCCCAGCATGGACCTAGCTGGCTATCCTGCACAGAACTTGCTGACTAATGAAGAAAATGTAAGCCACTCAACTTTGGCCATAAGGATAAATACTTAGAACACAGTTTAAAAGTATACTGATTTAGGAATGTGACAGTAGTAAGCTCTCCTCTAGGGTTGTTGATCTTACACATCACAGATAGTTGGCTAGATTTATAGTACCAGGTGTGAATTCCCTCCTGTTGACTGGACAGCTGTTGATTGCCCCAAGATACAGCACCATTATTGCATCCTTGAAACTATCTTTCTGTGTTGGGTGGTTTTATCCTGGGTAGGGCTACAGTAGGATTGCTTCTCTCCCTTGGCAGCTTGCATAGCATTTTAGGATACTTTGGGAGCTAGTCACCAGGAGGAAGCTTCCAGACCAGTTCCACATTTCTCCAAGCCTTGTGCCTGACATGGTATTTTCAACAATAGGGCCTTCCCTTCAATTTCTGAGAAGCAACCAAGGACAACAGCAATAGCCATATCATTTTGGGAGTCTCTTAGACTCCCTTGACCAACAATCTGATGTAACTTTTTCCATGCCAGGCAGTGGGACTTTCGTTGGCTAGTCTAATGCTCTTGAGAAACATGGTCACCCAAGTCTGTTCTCTCTCTCTCTCTCTCTCTCTCTCTCTCTCTCTCTCTCTCTCTCTCTGTGTGTGTGTGTGTGTGTGTGTGTGTGTGTGTGTGTGTGTGTAAATGTTAAAACATTCTTAAACTCCCCATTTTCCTCCATTTCCCCCTTCATGGTGCCTGTGTCCCATCCCCCTCTCTAGAGTATACTCTCTCCTTTGCCCACGTGGTCTCTTTTGTCTTCTGTGGTTTATGTGGTAGCCCCAGGTTACATACACATATAATGATTCCAAACTAGACCAAGCAGTGGTACTGCATGCCTTTAATCCCAGTACTTGGGAGGCAGAGGTAGGTGGATCTCCGTGAGTTCAAAGCCATCCTAGTCTACAGAGCAAGTGTCAGGAGAGGCTTCAAAGGTACACAGAGAAACCCTGTCTCAAAACAGACTAACAAAGATTCCAAACTAGGAATCACAAATGAGAGAACAGGTGACATTTGTCTCTCTGGGTCTGGGTAATCCCATTTATAATATAATATTTTCTAGTTCTGCCTGTTTACCTGCAATTTCATGATTCGTTATTCATTAATCAGTTGAACGAAATTTTTCTTTTCAACCTGTACACGTCCTCTCTTTCTGTGCCTGTGTTGAAAATACTGATCTCTAGTCTCTGGGGGCTTTTGTGCTATTGGATAGCTGCTCCCTGTGTTTGTAACCTCTGTGTAACACGTGCCAAAATGGACCTTTGGCAGATTGGAGACATATCTGGCCATAGCTCGTGTGGCTTGACATAAAATATTTTTCATTTCAGCTCCTGGTGGGCCCATGTAGAAATGGGACCCCCAGATCCCATCCTGGGAGTTACTGAAGCCTTCAAGAGAGACACCAACAGCAAAAAGATGAATCTGGGAGTTGGTGCCTACCGAGATGATAACGGGAAGCCTTACGTGCTCCCCAGTGTCCGGAAGGTGAGCTTGGCACCTGTCCTGCTGCCACAGGGTATGGAACCTGAAGGGATCCAAAAGGAACAAAAGGCATGCATGCTGGCCCATTCTCAGTGGCCCAAGTTCTGGTTCTAGCACTGGCTTTGTGAATCACCTGGCTTTTCTAAGCTTTTATCTTTCTTAGCTGTGAAAGTAGATCATAGCCACATAGTCTTCTCCAAGGTCAAAAATCAGGCATGGTGCCTAATCCTGCAGGGTACAAGAGGAGCAGCCAGCTGTGGATGAGGCTACCATTGTTATTTTCCATCTCTCTCATCTTGATTGCTGTGGTGAAATCCATGTATAGAGGCATGTGCTGTCTACCCTTTCTGCTGAAATACATAACTTCTTTCATCCTCTACTTTTGTTTCATTTTTATTAATAATATTTCCATTAGTTTTAAAGTTATTCAAGGCTGGAGATACTAGATGTGGTAGAGTGTTTCCTGGCATGCAAAAGGCTCTGTGTTTGCCCAACATCACAATAAAAATCCTAAAAGTGCCTGATTTTTGATCTTCACTGAACTCTGCCTACCTCTGCCTCCCAAGTCCTGAAATTAAAGGACTGCCCCACCATTGCCTGGCTTATTTCTTAAGATATATTTATTTGCCAAGTGGCCACGCCCAGATGAGCAAAAAGATCATATTTTTCCCAAATAGTAACATCTTAAAGTGAGGGGGTTGGAGTGTGGATGGATTTTCTTCTGACATTTACCTCATAAAATATTTGTTGTCATCACAGTAGTTGAAGCAGGGACAAGAAACTAAAACTTACTTTCTCTTCTTTAGGCAGAGGCCCAGATTGCTGCAAAGAATTTGGACAAAGAATACCTGCCTATCGGGGGGCTGGCAGAATTCTGTAAGGCTTCTGCAGCACTGGCCCTGGGGGAGAACAACGAAGTGCTAAAAAGTGGCCGGGTAAGCCGGGCAGGGCTGAGCTTCCTATAGCCTGTGTTCATACCTAGTGATTTAAAACACCAGGGAATGTTAACTCAGTTTATATGTGTGTGATGACTGGGGTGGCCACATTTACTAATAACTGCTTTCTAGATGGGAAATTTAGCTATATCAATTATCTTGAAAATTGGACAGAATTTGGCCCAGTTTGCTGTTGGTGCCGATGAGTTTCATCTGTTTATATTGAATATGCATTAGAAATGCCTGTAATTAGTTCCCACGTTCACTGTTAAGCTTCCAGCTTGGGCAGGAGAAGCAACAGGGAACCAGCCATGAGTAGACTGGGGGCCAGGCAGGGAAGATGTGTGGCTGTCTTCTATTGCCTTGTCACAGCCCAGGTGGGCATGGACAGAGAGAAGACCATAATTCTAAAAGATGCACGAGCAGGCTGGCTTACTTTATTTTGTAAGAAAAGAAGGAAAATGTGTCTTAATGAATACCCTTACATATTTATGTTTCTGCCTAAGCCTAAGACGTAAAAATATATATAGAGAGAGGCTATATTAATAGCTCACTGGTGGAATGCTGGGCTGGCATGTGCAAAAGCCCTGGGTTCACAGAAAATAAAAACAAAATAAATTAGACTAACACTATCCTAATAGACTTGTTGACTGTCATTGTGTAAAGAACCTTGTTCAGAGGCTCCTTGGGTTTTACATATTTCTAAAATGGTGCCTGAATGTAGTGACTGTGTGCATAAATCACTCCTTTGGCATATTGAAATGTCCCAAAATTTTCCATGTAACGTGGATGGTTCTAACAAAGCCATTCAGAATTCACTTCTAAAGGGTCAGGTCAGCAATCTGACTTAGCAGATAAAGTGCTCTCTGCACAGGCTTGATGACTTGAAATCCATGTCTAGAACCCACATAAAGGCTGAAAGGAAGAACCAGCTCCAGAGAGTTGTCGTGTACATCCCTGCCATAGCATGTGCACGCCCCCACCCCATACACACAGCACAGATAACTAAATGGGGTTGGAGTGATGGCTCAGTGGTTTAGAGTACCTGTTGCTCTTTCAGAGAGCCCAGCTTTGATTCCAACAGCACGTATGTGGCAGCTCACAACCATGTGTGACTTCAGGTCCTAAGTTCCAGGGGATCTGATGCCTTCTGACTTCCTGGAGCACCAGGCATGAACATGGTGCACATATAAACATGCAGACAACATACTTATATAGAGAAAGTAAATAAGTATCTCTGTAAAAATAAATAATCAAGGAAATAGCTACAAGAATTAAGCTCTACAGTGCAAAGGGTAGAGCAACTGACTCTGTGTCTCCCCAACAGTTTGTCACCGTGCAGACTATTTCTGGAACTGGAGCCTTAAGGATCGGAGCCAGTTTTCTGGTGAGTGAAACTCCTTCAAGAGAGAACATTAAGTTAAGGTCCTGTGTGTGGCTACTCACCTGATCGGGCTTCCTCTTTCCACAGAACTGGCAGGTTTCCAGTTCTCTGGTTGGGGAAAAAAAAAAAAAGTACTGTGGAGAAATTATAAGGAATAAAGTGATGAGTCAGCAAATTGAGCATGTAGGTGGGGACGGTTGTTTGTTTTTTATTCATTTTGAAACAGGGTTTTACTATGTATCTGTGGCTGTCCTAGAACTCACTTAGATTGGCTTCTAATTCACAGAAATCCACCTTCCTCTGGCTCCCAAATTAAAAAACATGAGCCAATATGCCCAGCACAGCATGTATCATTAGTAGGGAATATGTGCTTTAACTTATTTAGTCCCCTTCTTAGTTAGGGTTTTTATTGCTACATCAAAAGCACCATGACTAGGGCTGGAGAGATGGCTCAGAGGTTAAGAGCACTGGCTGCTCTTCCAGAGGACCTGAGTTCAATTCCCAGGAACCACATGGTGGCTCACAACAATGAAATCTGGTGCCTTCTTCTGGTGTGCAAGCATGCATGCAGGTAACTGTATACATAATAAATAAAATCTTTTTTTTTTTTTTTTAAATGACTAAAAAGCAAGTTGGGGAGGAAGGGGTTTATTTGACTTGCACTTCTATATTGCCATTCATTTTTGAAGGCAGTCAGGACAAGGACTCAAACAGAGCAGGGTTCTGAAGGCAGAAGCTGGTGCAGAGACTAAGGAGTAATATTGCTTACTGGCTTGCTTCCCATGGCTTGCTCAGCCTGCTTTCTTATGGATCACCAGCCCAGGGCTGAAACCACTCACAATGGCCTGGGTCCTCTCCCATCAATCACTAATTAAGAAAATGCCTTACAACTGGATCTACCGGAGACCTCCCCTCAATTAAGGTTCCCTCCTTTCAGGTAACTCTAGTTTGTGTGTCTAGTTGACATTAGACAACTAGCACAATCCCTGTAAAGGATGCTAAATTAGCAAGGCCTGCACAGGTGTTCATCTCATAGACAGAATAACTTAAGCCTGACTCCCAACCCAGGCCATCTTGCTAATGTTAGGAGGAAGAAACTGTCTCAAAAATACTAGCATCTTGTCCTTTCTTTGCCCTCTTTCTTCACTCCCTTTCATCCCATCTTTCAGCAAAGATTCTTTAAGTTCAGCAGAGATGTCTTTCTGCCCAAACCATCCTGGGGAAATCACACGCCCATCTTCAGGGATGCTGGCATGCAGCTACAAGGTTATCGATACTATGACCCCAAGACTTGTGGATTTGACTTCTCAGGAGCCATAGAAGACATTTCAGTAAGTGTGACTTTCCAGGCTGAACATTTAGTATCTCCCAGCTGGTTTCATTTTCTGACTCCCAGGTCTCTGTTCCCTTCTCAGCCATCAGTGACCTGTAGCATGTCAGCTATTTCCTTTAAAGCTACACAGTAAAATCTTGATTGTTTCTCTTTAGAAAATCCCAGAGCAGAGTGTTCTCCTCCTGCATGCCTGTGCTCACAACCCCACTGGCGTGGACCCTCGTCCAGAGCAGTGGAAGGAAATCGCGGCAGTGGTCAAGGTGAGCAGGATGAAATGTCAGTAACTTATTGCTTAACCTTGAGTCTTTCCCAAACCCACACAAGGATAAACTGCCAGGAACAGGTTCCCCCTTTGCAAAATTAGCAGTTTTATAATAGATGATATGTAGACAGCTTGAAAATAGTTTTCATCCTTCAGCCTAGATGTAGTAAGTTCTGATAAAACCTTCTAACACTTGTCTTTGGCACAACAACTGTTCTAGCCCCAGAGACCCGCTGGTGGCCCTTCCATCTGTCCTGGTTGGTGGCTATTTGCTCATCCTTTTAAGCACGTCTTCATGTCCCCGCCCTTTCTTGCTACTTTGCTCAGCATTGATTTTTAGAAGAGCTGGCTGTAACAGAAGACACTGTTCGAAATCCCTAGAGAGAAAAATTTCCCTGTCTTCTTCTGCCCCCATTCTTACCTCATCCATCAAATCTCAGCTTCCGTAGAATGAGACACAGAAGGACCCAGCAGAGAGCACTTTTAGATATAGGAATTATCAGAATTCTACTAGTCCTGCCCAAAAATCATATCCCAGACCACTGTGGCCTTGGAAGTGTCTCCTGCACCAGAGATTAAGGTTCCCTTTTCTCAGTGTTTGTTGAGGAACCATAGCCATCAAAATATTTAAAAATAATAATAATAATACTTTAAAGTATGTTGATAAATTAACTCTGGAATTCAGACATCTTCCCTACTGCCATGTGTGGAGAAACTGTTGACTATGTTTGGATGAACAAATGTGGTCCATGATAGCACATGTAATAACAGCATCTGTGGGTGCTTTTCTCAAACTCTGCTCTTCTTGTTCTTTCCCAGAAAAAGAATCTCTTTGCGTTCTTTGATATGGCCTACCAAGGCTTTGCCAGTGGTGATGGTGACAAGGATGCCTGGGCTGTGCGCTACTTCATCGAGCAGGGCATTAATGTTTGCGTCTGCCAGTCATATGCCAAGAACATGGGCCTATATGGTAAGCTAGAGGACCCAGTGTAAGGTGTGTTCTGATGAGCTCAACAGAGAGCTTGGGGAGGACACCACAAAGCAGAAAATCTAGAGGGACAAGGTAGCTCCTGGATGGGTGTGTGTATGTATGTGCTCACTTGCATGTAGCACATTAGTGCGCTTGTTATATGTAGTCTTCCTAAGACAGAAAAAGTGTACTGTAGGTTTTCTTATCCATATCTTCCATGTCCTTAAATTCCTGTGGCAAAAAAGAAATGGGGCGGGGAACAATATGGCTCAGCAGGTAAAGGCGCTTGCCACCAAGTCTGATGACTGGAGTTCAACCCACATGGTTGAAAGAACTAACTCCCACAAACTGCCCTCTTGTCCTTGCCCATGTTCATGCCTGAGAGAGGGAGTGTGGATTAAGAAATGGCAGGTAGAAAAATTACAGATACTAAATACAGAGATGAAGGATAGAGTTGGGAGGGTACTCCAGTGAATACTGGGGAAAAAGCCCCCAAGTTTATTACACACAGTCTTTATGTACAATTAAAAGTGGGGGAAGGCAAAGAGACTCCCTTGCCAAGATACAAAGAGCAAGCAAGTGTAATTACCTTCTCAATACCCAAAACATCAGGTAACCATACCCTAAACCAAGTATCCTGTTGTCAAGGTAAGGTAGGCAATAGCCACACCTTAGGCTAAATATCCTGTTGTCAAAGTAAGACATCTATTAGATACTTCTTAGGCCAAACACTCTGTTGTCAAGACAAGACATCCATTAGTTTAGCCACACCTCAGGCTAAACATTCTGTTGTTTAACCTTGAGAGAGCCATAGTGGATTTGGACTCTGACCTTAAGTCAAGGTGAAGTGGAGCCATCTGACCTTCATTCTTTGACCTTCCCATGTGCACAGTGGTATACCACTCCAACTCCAGAAATAGAATAGTTAAAAAAAAAATTTTTTTTTTTTTTTTTTTTTTTTTGATAATGTTAGACATGGTGCCATACATCTTTAATCCCAGTACTTGGGAGGCAGAGGCAAGAGGATATCTGTGAGTTTGAAGCCAGCCTGGCTGTAAATCGAAACCTCCTCCCCCCCCCCCCCCTTTCTCGCCCGGTGCACGCTCATGCGCGCACACACACACACACACATTTGAAAAGAGACCTGAATACTTTCTATTTAGTAAAGGCTGTTTCTATTAAGAAACTATTGGGCAGGGTGTGGTAGCTCATACCTGTAATCCCATCACCCTGATGGCTGAGACTGGAGAAGCACCTGTCTATAAGCCTGTAATACAGAGTGATACTCAGTCTCAAACATAATTACTGTTGTGGTTCTTCTGACAGAACAAATACCATGTAGCAAATTTCCTCAATGCTTGTTTGAGCATCCTAGGAGACAGTATCCACCCACTGCCTTTTCAGGTGAGCGTGTGGGAGCCTTCACTGTGATCTGCAAAGATACGGATGAAGCCAAACGAGTGGAGTCGCAGCTGAAGATCCTGATCCGTCCCATGTATTCCAACCCCCCTCTCAATGGTGCCCGGATTGCAGCAACCATTCTGACCTCCCCAGACTTGAGAAAGCAGTGGTAATGATTCCTTGCTGTTCCATGCCATCTGGTACCTCACAGTTCCCCATGTGGAAAATGAAGTAGAGGCCTATGCATTTTGTTGGCACAGCTAAGTTATTTCCCCATGAATTCAGAAGCAGCAGCCAGCCTCTTTTGGTCTATAATCTCTACTTTTAGTAAAGCCTGCCTCCCCTTAAAATCGAGTTCAATTGAAGTACCTAGCATAGGAAACCTCTTCTAAAAGATACTTTTGTTTGTGGTGCTGGATGGAGGTCAGACCTCTGGTTTCATGCCCAGAGGCAAGTACTCCTCTCTGCTGTATCCCCAGCCCCTCCCTGCACTATTCTCACTGGCTAACACTGAATCAGTGTTTCTGTGCGCTTAGGGTTTTGTTATCTATATTTAATCTCAGTGCCTATTCTCTAATGTTAATCTTTTTAAATAACTTTTTAAAGACTTATTTTGGACTAGAGAGCTAACTCAGCATTTAAGAGCACTTAACTGCTCTCGCAGAGGACCTGGGTACAATTCTCAGCACCCATGTAGTAGTTCAAACCCATTCATAACCCCAGTCCCAGGAAAGACCAGTCTTGGCTATAAAGTGAATTTGAGGCTGTCCTGGACTTCATGCCATCCTGCCTCAAAAGCAAAAAACAAAGTAGTGTTCGGGGAGCTAGAGAAGATGGCCCATCAGGAAACACCTGGCTGATATTGTAAGAAGTCAGAACTCGGTTCTCTGGCAGGAAGGGGGTGGCTGGGTTTGGCAAAGTGAGCAATGTAGGGTACACAGGTCACATGCTTAGTCCCTGTAGGACCCAGGTCTTAAGAATAAATAAAGTTGAGTAGCTCTTGTTGCCAAAAATTAAAAACCTGATCTCAAAGGCCAGAAGTAACTATGCTCTGGCCAGGAGTAACCTGTGGTGTGGTGAAGCCAGGAATGGCCTGTGTGTGGTAAAGCCAAATGTCAACTGCTTCTTTCTGCTTTTTATTTAAGATAAGGTTTCTTACACACTGTAGCCCAGGCTGGTCTCTAACACAGCAATCCCTGCCTCCGCCTCCGCCCTCCACCTCCTAGGTGCTAGCTTTGCAGGTGTTCACCACCATTCCCAGCTCGGTGACTCAAAAATACTATTTAGGCAGGCAGTGGTGGCATACCTTTAATCCTAGTACTTGGGGAGCAGAGATAGGCGGATCTCTGTGAGTTTGAAGATAGCTAAGGCTACACACAGGGCAACTCTTGTCTTGAAAAACAAGCAACTAAACAAAAATCATTTAGTCCTTTGTTGGCAGTTGTAGGCTCTGATGAGGCCACCCATGTTGTTGTCATGGAGAGATTGTTGATGAAAGTGTACATAATGCAGGAGAAGTGTCATTATCGTGGTCCAGTTGGCAAAAGCCAACCAAAGAAATCCCTGAAGGGCATGGGAATGGATATAGCTGGCAGTTCTGAGAAAAGGGAAGACTTGAGAATCAAGCAAGCTGGGCTGTCTGCACACAGGACTGTCCTCTTCAGTCCCAGACAGAATTGGCCCTTTCTTCTCAGTGGCCCTCCTTAGTCCAGAACCGTTCAGTGCTGCCTTGTGCCACCATTTAAAAGTTTGGCCTGTAACCTCCATTGTAACCTTCTAAGAGCTATAACCACATCTCAGTCCTCAGCACCTATTATATATGGCATAGACCATGTAGGCTTATACTATCGTCTTCGTTATGAAGGCAAGACTGTTTACTTCAAGGTTAAAATAGTGTCATGTTAGCCAGGCCGTGGTGGCACAAGCCTTTAATCCCAGCACTCTAGAGGCAGAGTTTGAGACTAGCCTGGTCTGCAGAGTGAGTTGTAGAGCAGCCAGGGTTACACAGAGAAACCCTGTCTCAAAATAAAAAAACAAAAAAGGTCATTTTACTGTTTAACCCACAGCTTAGCCTTCCCATTTTCAAATGATATTTAAACTTTCCTCGGTACTCAGGTATGTTAAGCATAAAAGTTAACCTATCTGGGGCTGGAGAGGTGGCATAGGTGTTAAGAGCATTGGCTGCAATGCTGGAGGACCTGGGATCAATTCCCAGCATCTACATGGTGACTCACAACGCCCTTAACTCTTGCTCCAGGAGATCCAACACTCTGTTCTGGCCTCCAGTGGCACCAAGCACTCATGTGGTGTATACACTGCAGGCAAAATGCCCTCACACATACTTTTTCTAAAGTTGCTATACAAAGTACTTACAATAAAAAAACAGAACACTTAAAATCATTGTTCACCACCCACCGACTGTGTGACCCAGTTAAGGACTGGGATTAAGGCATTCAGGAGAAGAACTCGAGTGAAACAGAATGCTTGGCCAGAGCAAGAATCCTGTCTCTTTCCTAACAGGTTGCAAGAAGTGAAAGGCATGGCCGACCGCATCATTAGCATGAGGACCCAGTTGGTCTCCAACCTGAAGAAAGAGGGGTCCTCCCACAATTGGCAGCACATCACCGACCAGATCGGCATGTTCTGTTTCACTGGCCTAAAGCCTGAGCAGGTGAGTAGGCTCTGATTCTCCACAGCCAACCAGTAGACAGCAGACCTGTCCTTTAAGGGTAAGCCAGAATTTGTCAGCAGTCACCTACAAATTTGTTTCCTTAATCTTGAGTCCATTTAGGAACAGGTGGCAAGCGGTGCTGTTCCCGGGGTTGGTGGTGGTGGTGGTGGTGGTGCTGTGTTGTTATGAGATCATTAATGTTGCCCAGGCTGGTCACTTAGGCTCCAGCATCCACACCTCACCCTGTACCTGGGACTGCAGTCATTGTCACTAGTTAGGGTGTGTGTCACCTCCCTGGCCTTATTTTCTCCATTATTACTTGTTGTTTGTTTGTTTGTTTGTTTGTTTTTGTCTGTACCCCCATGGTGTTGCAGTCTTCTGAAGTGCATACCTAGTGAGAGAGGGGTTGTTTGTTTTTTATTTTTTGCTATTTTGTTTTGTTGTTGTTTTTCCAGCTTGCTGTTAGTAGTGGCTTGGGATGGAGGGGACTTTTGTGGGGTGTTCGGGTTTTTTTGGCTTTTTGTGGTGCTGGGGATCAAACCCAGGACTTTGCCCATGGTATGTAATGGCTTGTTTGCGTGCTGGTGCATCAAGGGTGAGGGGAAACGGCTGCTACATGAGTGAATTCCAAGTCTGCTTAGTCTGGGTTTTTAGTTTTGGTTTTTTGCTGTTTGTTTGTTTGTTTGTTTTGTCACCTGTTACACCTTGGAAATCATAATTTTACTTTAATTCCTTAACATTTATTTTTCTTGTCTGGACGCGCGCACATACCATGGCATGTGTGTAGGTCAGAGGACAACCTTCAGGAGTCAGTTTTCTCCTCTCTATACAAGTTCTAGGGATGAACTCAGGTTATGAGGCTTGGTAGCATATACCTTTACCTGCCAAGCCATCTCACGGGCCCCATCATCCTACTTTAAAAATAGCTTTTTTTATTCTTTTACTCTATCTAAACACCAAAGGGATGAACTCAGGTTATGAGGCTTGGTAGCATATACCTTTACCTGCCAAGCCATCTCACGGGCCCCATCATCCTACTTTAAAAATAGCTTTTTTTATTCTTTTACTCTATCTAAACACCAAATTCTAGTTTTAAGTGAGAAAATTAAGATTTTGTTATTTTTTTGTTTTAACAAGTTGGCTGTTCTGTGCCATCAAGGCTGGAAACATTTCCCCACTGGGAATAATTGTCAGCTTCTTTTCTCTCTACAGGTGGAGCGGCTAACCAAGGAATTCTCAGTCTACATGACAAAGGATGGCCGCATCTCTGTGGCAGGGGTCACCTCTGGCAATGTGGGCTACCTTGCCCATGCCATTCACCAGGTCACCAAGTAATTTCCAGGGTGCAAAGGAACAGAGACCACCTTTGCGCTCATGAGAGTTCACGTGCAGGATAAGGGGTGGGTGGGTGGTGGTGAGTAGATCGTGTTTCCAACCACAGTGCATAACACTCAGCGACGGAATGTGTTCCTCGGGCAGAGGCCTCCACGGCTGGTGTCTGGAACTTTGGTGGCTCTAAACCAAACTCTCCCTTATCCCTTTTGTCTCCAACTTTTCTGAAAGAGTTTACACATGCAAGAAAATCAAAACACCAAAAACCCTGTCAGCCATGGCATTGGAACGGAAGCTTTACTACTGAAGCATCCGTTGGTATCGGGGCTCCCCTGTGGACCCAGCTGAGACCACTCACATTAGAGGTTGTGAGAAGGAAAAACCTAGTTCTGTCATCAACAGTTGTCCTGTCATCAACAGTTGTCCTTGTGTTTGTCCTCCCAGTATGGAGCAACTGTGTCAACAGATCACATAACAGAAATTGTGCTTTACAAAACCAACAAGTCTGTTGCTGTTGCCACTTCAGCGAGGACAGTAAATGATGTTGTGTCTGGTCAGCCTGTCTCCTCTTGTCATTGTTGTTCTATAGAGTTTCAGCCCATTCTGCTTGATTGACCATTAACCTCATCTGTCAGGACTTACATAGTTTTCTGTTCATGCCAGAACCTCCTTTATCAGCAAGAAACCGTGGAGAGTGGGGACCTGCACTTTATTTCAGTGTCCCTTCAGTGATTGATTGGCTCCTGGGATGGGGCTTCTGCCCAGCTGGACCTCTTCCTACATCCTGGCTGCACAGCCTGTCTCCTCATATGAGTCAGACAGTGCAGCGTAGGATCAGGAGATATTTTGGGGTTTGTGTGCTGCCAGCCCAGCTCAGACTCCACCCTCTGGAAAGATAACCACCATCTACTCTAATTATGTAGACTTAATGCCGCCTGGTTTCTCTGTTACAATAAAATTACTGTAGACCCACCCAGCCACTGTCTACTTTTCTATTTAATGGGAGGAAGGGGTAGGAGAAGATCTATATTCTTAAGTGTGAAGTCATGCCTAGCTAACTGTAAGCCAAAAGATTTATCAGCTTTCCATTCCTGACTAGAAGTGCATCTTGCTCTTCATCCTGCCTTTCAGCTGGTCTGGTCCAAAGGTGCTGGCTTAGACCTCAGGAGACAGGAGGGTGGAGTGTGACATTCTTCACAAAACTGGGGGAAAAAAATAAATAACCAAATTTATATGGAAATACTAAAGACCACAGAGATAAAAGAAATGAGAAAAGAAAACAAAAACAACTACCAGCTGTATCATAATACTGATCTCAAACTATGCAACATAGTAATGCTATGGCAACAAAGACAGCATCATGTTGACAAAAAAACAGGCCAAGGGAACAAAACAGGGTCAGAAATTAAGGCCTTTTGTGGGGAGGAGGGGTTGGAGAGATGAGACAGGGTTTCTCAGGACAGCCCTGGCTGTCCTGGCTTAGGCATCCAGTTTTTGACAAAAATCAAAAACACACAGGGATCTGGAAAGACGGCTCAGGTGACAGGTGCCTGTCATGAGCCCTGATTTCCTAATTCAATCCCCAGTTACCACATGATAATAAATTACCTTCTAACCTCTGTGTGTGCTGTGGCATGTGTGCAAACACACAAATGGAAAAAATATTCAATAGGAAAAGATATTCAATAAATGATGCTGACAAAGCTAGATACCTACCTATAGCAGAATGAAATTAGGGGCAGAGATGGCACAAGTGTTCACACCACTTGTTGCTCTTGCCAAGGACCCAGGGTTGGTTCCCAACACCCACAGGGTGATTCACAACCATCTGTAACTCCAGTTCCAGGGATCCAGTATACTCTTCTGACAAGGATACCAGGAACACACCTAATTCACATTTCCTACAACACACACATAAATCTGGAAAAGAGAATGAAATTAAATCCATACCTCTTCGCTCTGCCCAAAAATTATAAGCTTGACACGGTGGCACACAGCTTTAATCCCAGCACTCAGGAAGCAGACTATCTGAGTTCAAGGCCAGCCAGGGATACATAGTGAGAACCCATCTCTCTCACACACCCTCAATCCATTGTAAGCCAAAGACATTAATTTAAAAACTTTAAACATGAAAGCTGCCAGAGAAAAGCATAGGGAAACATGTGTGATACAGATACGGCCAGGAACTTTCTGAAAACTCAAATCTTCATTGTGATGCCATTTGGATATGTGGTCCCTCCAGTGGTGTCAGGGGCCTCATAAGAAGAGACTGGAGTCAGCCTGCTTCCTCCCTCTGCTCTCCATATAGGAGGACACGGGATGGGGTGCAGCGGGAGGCTCACAGCAGTTTTCCTGCTGGCACACCACCTCAGGTTTCCCAGCTCCTAGAGCTGCAAGCACTCTTAGCCTATGAACTGTCCATCTCTCCAGAACCAAACTCCAGACATGAGGTAGGCCTTTCTAGAACAAATACACATTGACTTAACATTTTCATTGTTGAATCTACCCAGGTCTCAGCATCTAGTTACAGCAATCTGAATGGAAAAACTGTGATAACTTTTTTTTTTTTTTTTTTTTTTTTTTTTTTTTAAATCAGGGTCTCCCTAAGTTGCTCTGGCTGCCCTTTGTAGACCAGGCTGGCCTCAAATCTCCTGCTTCCAAAGTGCTAGGATTAAAAGTGTGTGACACCACGCTCTACTCTAACATTTTTTAAAATGAACCCTTAGAAATAGAGATCAAGGGTCCAGGGAGGTGGTTCAGTGGGTAAGAGGGCTTGCTGTGCAAGCATGAGGACCTGAATTGGAATTCCCAGCACTCTTGAAAAAGTGGAGACAGTTCCTTGGAGCTGTTTGGCCAGCCAGTCTACTCAAAACAACCAGCTTGGGTTCAGTGACAGGCCCTGTCTTGAGAGAATAAGACAGAAAACAATGAAGGGAGACATCTGATATCCTCTAGCTTCACATTCTACCGACAGGTCCATGTACCCACATACATGTGCACACATGCATACACCACACGTGAACACAAATACAGAGAAATAGGGAATGGATTTTTGGTTCTAGGAAGCATCGGGTGGGAGGGAGGCAAGTGTTCAAGGCCAGCCTGGTCTACAAGAGCTAGTTCCAGGACAGCCTCCAAAAGCACAGAGAAACCCTGTCTCAAAAAAAAAAAAAAAAAAAAAAAAAAAAAAAGACTACTCCAAGGAGGGAAGAAAGCAATCTAACTGCAGATCTTCACCTCTCCCTAAGTTCCTCCAAATCCAATCCCCAGCCTTATCCCATCTCTGTATCCTGCTGCAGCCTTGCTCCATCACGCTCCCATCTCCACTAGATCATACAGATCTTCCGCTCCTAACCTCCCTCCCCCCACTTACTGCTTTATCCTAGCCCTCAACTCCATCAGCACTCCCTGAGAACCCACAGGCCACTCTGAACAGGGAGGCAAGTAGGCTAACCTTAGTCTTCACTCTCCCTCCTCTCCTCAAAATCCAACTCCCCTCCCCATCTTACCTCCAACTCTGTAGCAGAGCACCTCCTGCAGCCTTCCTGCTCCCCATCCCCATTGCCAGATCTTCCCTCCTAACCTGCCTCCCACTCCAAACTTTGCTCTTTGCTTTATCCCAGCCCCTAACTCCAAGAAGCATTCCCTGGGAACCTGCAGGCCACTCTAGCCAGGAGGAAAGCAGGTAGACTAACTGCAGATCTTCCTCTCCCTCCATTCTTCCAAGCCCAGTGTTATGGGGAACCCACCGGAGATAACCACTCAGATACAGTTTGCAGCCAATTGAAAATCTTTATTACAGCCAGCTACAACTACACTCAGATATTTGGGACCGAAGAGTAGCTTCAAACATTTAGAGCAAAGGGCTTTTTAGAGGCTACTCATTCAGCAGCTGTAGAGGGAGGTTTTGGGAAGCAAGCAGTTTAACAGATGCTGAGATAAACTAGCTGGAGCATCTTGACCTCAGTTCCTAGAATAGAGGGTAATTTTCCATGGGATTCTCCATCAAGGAGATCAAATTCTACTTACACCTAAAATGGCCTCAGCAAGAATCCAAGACGGAGGAACCTCTGCACTGTCTTGCCTTATCACACCAATCCTCCAGCTTCATTCCCAGCTCTGTAGCAGACCATCTGCTTTGGCCTCTCCACTCTCTGTCCCCATTCCTAAGGGACTAAGCAGACCCTGATGAACACCCTGCTTTCCCCCCTCCTGTGGACCTGCCTTCATGTCAGGTGCTCTGTGTTGCAAGAGACGAACAAATTAAAAGGTCCATGAAGAAATGTAGGCTTTTATGGCAGGAGAAAGGTCCAGCCTCTGATGGACTGGACTTCAAACAGCCATTCAACGGCATGTTTATTGATGTCTACACAAAGGTTTGTTTTGTTTGGTTTGGTAAACAAGTTCCTCATACCAACGTCCCTGATCTATATGCTTTTCTGAAGAAAAGCATCACCCCCACAAACACACTTTAGTCTTGTATTGTGTACTGTCTGCAGTGCCCAATAATTCAAGAGGTGTGTCATTCAAAGGCTGTAAAGCTGCTTCAGAAAAACTCTAAAAATGACAGAAAACAATCACTGTTTGAATGAAATAAATGAAATGGAAAAAAACAAACAAAAACAAAAACAAAAAAACAATCTTTCCAACTTCCAACAAGATTTCTTCAATGTCAAAGTACTTCAAAAACAACTATTCATTCTTGTGTATACCTTAGAAACAATGAAAAACAACTGTTCTGTTCTAATGTTTACTCTTGATACAGTGACTCTGCTAGATTCCTACATCGTTTAACCCATCCCAATCCCCTAAGTGTCAGCTCCCAATACCTAGAAACACATGTTACCTGGAACCCCCAGCAGCCACACCTATCAGGATCCCAGAAGAATTTCCTAGCAGGTGGCACATAGCCACCACACTTTCCTAAGAACCAGAAAGTGCAAAAGAAACTAAGAAACAAACACTCACCCAAAAAAGACAAGATCAGATATCAGCACCAAGAATTACAATTTTCCCAAACACAGATGCCTAGACACCAGCATAAAAATACAATCTCCACT